GCAGATGAGAGATGAGTGAAAATAAGAGAGTGCATACGAGAGATGAACTAGTGTGATGGGACAGTGCAAGGCAGATGAGTGAATGAAACAGAGATGGATAAGAGAAAGTTAAGAAAAGAGGGTTGAACAACAGATCATGAATGTGAGACAAACATGCCAGTGAGAGATAGCAAGCATGGGCAGCAGAGAAAGCAGTTGAATGACAGTGTGCAGGTGACAGGTCAGTGAGAAAGACAAGTGAGAAAGATAAACAAAAGCAATAGCATAAAAGAATATGGGAGAGACAGACCAACTGCAGCACATCCTGCACAGTGTAAGTGGGAGCTTTCCAGTAAAGAAGAAGAGATAGAGAAGCCACCCACCCCAAAGATCAGATTCTGATAGATGATTAAACACGTGAGTCTAACCATCTGTCAGAACCTCTCTCCACCCCCAGCCCCAGCCCCAGCCCCGGCTACAAGTGATTGATGTTTGTTTTTCCTGCTGGGCAGGTAGGGATAGGAACATTGGTGGGTGAAACTAACCACCAATTGTTGCTACTTAATCTGGCCTACGTTAAATAGAGAACAAAGTAGTTACAGAAATAAAGGAAATTTATTCTAGAATATGTTTATAAACTGGAAGAAAGCATAGTAAACTTATGGAAATGCTTTAATCATGTCAGCCTATGTCTAGTGGACTTAATAGCCATTAAGTTAGCCATGATTAGCTTAAGTTTAAACTGATTTTGGTCTCACATTATGCAAAGTATGTGATTTAATTCTGCATGACAACCTCTTAGCCAATTGAGTGTGATCTTCAGCAAGTGGCATTAGATTAAGCCAGAAAACTACAAACAAGCATGTTCTGAACATGAGATGAATGACTTTGCATGAGATTTAGCTCATACCAAATGGCATTACAATTTCAGCACATGCTTAGCCCACAAGCAGCATATTAAACTTGGTTGAAATTCAAGCTCAGCATATATTGGAGCTTTCACTGACAAATAAGCCACCAGATTTGTGTATTATTTCTTATGCATCTTCAGCCTTCTTTAAATTCCCTGTGAGACACAGAGCATAAGAAGCAGTATTGATGAAGGTATATGAGCCATATAAGCCACATTCAGCAAGTGGGCAGACAAAACTCTGAAATGCAACAGTCTGGATTGCTTAATATTGAAGTTAAAAAAAGTAATATGCATGTCACCTAAAAGACTGAGAGGAAGATAACATAATAAAATTACCATCTAAAATGAGATTGAATTTGAAGCTAAAGTGTGAAGGGATATTGCCATTAAAACCAGAGCATGAATTGGAAAAATATCACCAGAACTTGAAATGGTAAGATTGTCTTTGGTAATCAGTTTTGTATTTCAGCATATTTGTTCAAATCATGGCATTTAAGGCACAATTCCTATTGTGCTAGACCTGATTTATTGTGAAATGTAAAATATACTGTGGCTACAGTTTACAATAAGTTTTTCTGTTTGTGGGGTCCCTAAGTTAATGGTGTTTATATTTTCCTCAAACAGCTTGATGGCAAAGATTCTCTTTTTCATTTACACATGGTTCCTTTTCAAAGGCTGTTCCACATGATGAATTTATCAGATGATGAATGTACATTTATTACTTATGTTCCATACAATATGATTATAGTGAGAATTTTCCATTATCAAATACAGTATTGCCATTCCATTTGAATGTGAAAACCATACTATTCTTATAATAGAAGATATTATTCTTGTGTTATATTCTGCACATAGGAGGACTCTCCCCAAGATGGCTGTTGAACAGTAATGTTTTTTTCCTCTCTTTTGTCAACAATCTGCTGATTTTATTGCCAAAGCTGGTTCTCTGGCATTGCTGTTCCCTGGATTTGAATGGGAACACTTAGGAATGACCCAAGACAGCTTTTGGAGGGCCATGGCCCCACCTAGGAAGGGGAGTCTTGAAGATACAAGGTCCCTTTGGAAGTGATCGGAAGTACTGGTCATCCATCTTCTTCTTGGTAGTTGATGTTCTTAAGCATGCCTGGGTTTTAACTTCACTTTTCAAATGTTCTGTTTTACTTTGCTTTTTATTTTGAAGTTCACGGTTGAATGCTGATTTATTTAAACCCTCTGCTGGACTCTAGCTGTTCTTTCTTTCTTTTTTCTCTTTGATTTATGTTGTCTTGAATAATTTTCGCTTTCCTGTAAGGAAACACCGTGTATTCTGACCTAGGCTTCCTGAGACAGTAAAAAGCACACAATTAGTCCCCAAATCCCTCTTTTTATTTCAACGGCTGTGAATTATGTTCATTCACAGCCTGTAATGAGTCACAAATAGTTTGTAAAGAGTCCAACAGAAGTCTGCCACAGTCCTTTGGGATAAGGCTGATAAGCACCCACCTTTATTTCCCTTGACATGCTGCCAAAGACCTAATTGGCAATTAGCTTTGCAAGGCCACAAGGAGCACAGAGTCAAAATGGAGCTTCAGAATTTAAACCGACCAGAACGAACAAAGTTGCTTCCTGCAAAGACTCAAGTGCCTTTGCTCCTCCTTTATGTCTTATGGGAGGGGACAATCATCTCCAAGCCCTACTCCTGAGTCGTCCCTTTTTCTCTTAACTGTTTTAGCCTTCTGGCAGCTCTGGGCATGCGCGCACTGGGAACAGGGTCCCCCTGTTCCTCTGCCTTGCTGATGTCCGACTCTGGAGGCTCTGGAGGCAGCACATAACTCCCAGGTCAGTTTACATTCCAATTCCAAAGAAAGGCAATGCCAAAGAATGTTCAAACTATCGCACCATTGCACTCATTTCACATGCTAGTAAAGTTATGCTCAAAATCGTACAAGCTAGGCTCCAGCAGTACATGGATCGAGAACTACCAGAAGTACAGACAGGATTTCGAAGAGGCAGATGAACTAGAGATCAAATTGCTAAGGTACGCTGGATCATGGAGAAAGCTGGGGAGTTCCGGAAAAACATCTACTTCTACTTCATGCTAAAGCTTTTGATTGTGCAGATCACAACAAATTGTGGTAAGTTCTTAAAGAGATGGGAGTACAAGACTATCTTATTTATTTCTTGAGAAACTGATATGCGGGTCAAGAAGCAACAGTGAGAACTGGACACGGAACCACTGATTGGTTCAAAATTGGAAAAGGAGTCCAGCAAGGCTGTATATTGTCCCCCTGCCTATTTAACTTATATGCAGAGTACATCATGAGAAAGATGGGGCTAGATTAATCAAAAGTTGGAATTAAGATTGCTGGGAGAAATATCAAAAACCTCAGATATGCAGATCAGTGGTGGGTTGCCTATAGAACCGGTAGTAAAACTGGCAGGAGGCTTTGCCCACTGACTCTGACGTCATAAAAACACTTCTGCGCATGCAGAGAGGCTTCTGCGCTTGTGCAGAAGAGTGTGCACGTGTGCGAACAAAGCGAGCGTGCGTGCGTGGCCCCATTGCGAACCAGTAGTAAAGGTAAGTAGAACCCACCCTTGATGCAGATGATACCACTCTAATGGCAGAAAGTGAAGAGGAACTAAAGAGCCTCTTGATGTGGGTGAAGAAGGAGAGTGCAAAAGTTGGTTTGAAACTCAACATTAAGAAAACTAAGATCGTGGCATTCGGCCCTCTCAATTCCTGGCAAATAGATGGGGAAGAAATGGAGGTAGTGACAGATTTTATTTTCCTGGGCTCCAAGATCAACAGAGATGGGGACTGCAGCCAAGAAATTAAAAGACGCTTGCTCCTGGGGAGGAAAGCTATGTCAAATCTAGACAGCATACTAAAAAGCAGAGACATCACCCTGCCAACAAAAGTGCGTATAGTCAAGGCTATGGTTTTCCCAGTTGCAACGTATGGCTGTGAAAGTTCGACCATAAGAAAGGCTGAACGCCAAAGAATTGAGGCCTTTGAACGATAGTGCTGGAGAAGACTCCTGCGAGTCCTTGGACTGCAAGGCGAACAAACCGGTTAGTCCTAGAAATCAACCCTGACTGCTCTTTAGAAGGCCAGATCCTGAAGATGAAACTCAAATACTTTGGCCACCTAATGAGAAGGAAGGACTCACTGGAGAAGAGCCTAATGCTGGGAACGATTGAAGGCAAAAAAAGGGGACGACAGAGAATGAGGTGGCTGGATGGAGTCACTGAAGCAGTAGGCGTGAGCTTAAATGGACTCCAGAGGATGTTAGAGGACAGGAAGGCCTGGAGGAACGTTGTCCATGGGGTCACGATGGGTCGGACACGACTTCGCAACTAACAACAATTGATAAGTGATGACAACAATTGATAAGTGATGGCATTAAGAAACAAATGTGAATGTTTGACCAGGTCAAATTACTCTTAACTCTTGGGAAGATTTGGGATAGATAACATGCCATAGTAAACAATAGATAACAATAACAGTTTATTAACAGAGGGTTTGAAACTTTAACCCCTGCCTTTTTTATATTATTGTTTTCCTGTTAACCATTTTGTCATTAATATAATCAGGTCAATAATTTGCAAATAGATTTAGCAGTTTTTTAAAAAATTGGGCCTGTTTTATAACAGGCAAAAAACCAATATTGTAGTAATATAGTAATCAGTAGGGAGGTTAATATGTCTATAAGTGCTGGATTTTTTTAAAAAAATTATGCACTTTTTAAATGTCTTGTTTGTTTTGGGTTTTTTCTTTCTTTTTTAAAAATTTTTTGGGGAGTTTTGTATTTTAACCTTTTTTCAAATAAAATAAAAATAGTGATTAAAAAAGAAATAATCCACATGAATGTACAGTATCTAGTTTTATCTTGTAACTTTCCATTTTTGTAGCCTGGGCTCCATGTCAATTCCTTTCAGCTATGTATATAATTCATACAGTGTGTGTATATATACTGTGTATATATATTTATACACACACACTGTATGAATTATATATTATATATAATATATAGTGTGTATATTGCAGAAATTTCTGCTCATCATAAAAAGAATCATTTTGTTTTTTGTGACCTAGGCTTACTGAGTTATTACAAGACACAATAAGTCCCAAATAAACTTATTTTATTTTATTGTAACAACTGAGAATTACATTCATTCCCAGCTGAGTCCCAATTAGTTGCAAAACAAGTCCTTCAGAAAAAGTCCTTTGGGATAATCACCAACCTTTATCTTCTTTGACACCCTGCCAAAAGCCTTACTTGGCAAAGCCCCACAAAGTTCAGAAACAAAGAAGAGACGCCAACTGGAAACAGAGTTAGCAACGTTGCTTTCCTGCAAAAAGGCCAATTGCCTTTGTTTCTCTTGTAAGCCTTATGGGAGGGGCCAATCATCTCCTGGCCTTACTCCTGAGTCGTCCCTTTTGCTTTAGCTGCTCTTGCCTTCTGGCAGCTCTGTGCATGTGTGCACTAGAAACAGGCTCCTCCTGTTCCTCTGCCTCTCTGCTGTCCAACTCTGGGGGCTCCGGAGTCTGCGCATCACTCCCAGATGACCCTGGCTCCATCTCTGCCTCCGACGCAGAGCCCTTGTCCGGGCCTTCCCCAGACTCCAAGACTGGCCCATGTTCCTCCCCAGCCTCCCCACTGTCTGACTCCACTGCTAGCTTCACAGGCTGCTGGCGGACCACAACACATTTCCTTATTCTATGTAAAACTTTAGAGGATCCTCAGCATTAGGTTCGTTTGATTCCAAGGATGGAATCAACTGAACCTAATTCAGTTGGTTCCAGGGTACTTCAAAAGTAATATATCTTATGTAATTTATTTTTCTTAGGAGTGATTGCTTTCCATTTCTGTTAATGTTTTGTCCTTTTTGACTCATTGATTTATTGGTGTTCTTCCTTGTTAAAATAGTGATGGGAGTTATTAGGCAGCAGGAGTCTCCTTTTTGCAGTAGAAGGATTTTGCATTTAGTGCACATCAACTTCATTAAGCAGAATTTTAAATAGAGAGTCCATGATGGGAGTTAAAGTTATCTCCTTCAGGACTGCAAAAAGCTTTGCTTCTAGTGGTGGAGATGACAGCAGAAAGCTTCAAAATGTAAATACAAAAGTCAGCGTAAGATGCTCTTGTCCTACTATACTTACTTTGCTCCTTATCTGTAACTTTTCACCCACTGGGGTGGAACAGACATGTCTGATATCCTCCTATGTTCTAAAAGTGTATTTAATACAGAGGATGAGGGCCATCCTAGATCCCAGTGCTTGTTCTCCAGTCATATTCAACAGTCATCTTTCTCCATAAACGTAGGCTAAAAAGCTTATCCATTATGATTCTCTTGTAACTAAGCAACCCTAGAAACCTCTACCAATATAAATTAATCTATATTTATATTATGGAAAAAAAACTTGACAGCCACAGATATCACTAGTTAAACACCTGACACTTGAGGTCCAAAGTGCTTTATAAAACTCAGTATATGAAAAGAACTATGTGGGAAGGGCAAATATCACCCACCGTACACTGCAAATGGGGACAATGCTTTTTAATCAGAGGTTCCTCTGGTTTTGAGGGTTTTTTTTCACATATTGCAAACATTCTTTTTTAGTCTACATCCATCTACCTATAAAAATAAGCAAGGATTATGTATTTTATCCCCTATCCAGTGAAAGCTGAGATACTTACAGTGCTAAAAGCAGTGTACGTTGCTTTAATAAATGCTTAAAAATAATTAAAGACATTGATTAAATGCCTACATAGTTCTGGTATTTGTTTCCTTGATCTCCACAGTTTGTCTAAACTTGAAAGCAATCCATCACTCCTATTTTTGCTTCTTTCTGTTCCCATCCTCCTCCTCCTCCTCCTCCCTCCTCTTCCTCTTTTCCCCTTGCTTTTTTCCCATCTTTCCTTTCTCAACCCACCACCTTTTGCCTTCTCTTCTGTTCCTCCTCCTATAACCAGCACATACAGAACCTGGCAGAATTGCAAAAAACGGATCATTCCAAATGGAACAGCTGGTGTGTCCTCTGAGTTGGGAGTGAATACAGGAGAACATGAAAAGCACTTATTAAAAATGAGGTGAAGACGGGGGTGGCAACAAATCAGAAGAGAAGCACAAGGATAGCGTTTAGAGAAGTACAGGGAAACAAAAAACTAAAAGAAAAGCAAGCTGCTGGCATGTAGTGCATATAGAAGCCTTTCTCTCCAAGCCACAGGAGACCCAAAGGCATTTTATGGGGTAATGGGGCTTAAGGCAGAGCCTCAAATAGTGGATTTGTAGGGACAGAGTGGGCTGTAGAAGAGATAGCAGACATTACGGATGTAATATACTATGTTCCCTGTCTAATTCCAACCCCTATGTTCCATACTAGCTTTGTTTTACAAATAATTTCCACACTGGACAGTCCTGGTAGTCTACAAGTTAGAACCTTTCAATTCAGCATAAAAAATCTGCACAATGATTTATAATGCATGTTAGCATGTTTTCTATTTACGTGTATGGGGAATATACTGACTTCTTCATATGTCAACAGAAAATTACAAATTAACATCTCTCCTAATCTGGTACCCTCTGGATATGTTCAGTCTACTGTCGCCAAAATGTGAAGTCAGCATCACCTTCATTGGCTGGAAATTCTGAGAGGCATAGTTCTGGTATACATGGTATAAAAAGCACTAGGGTATATAAAATCTCCCACATCTTTCTATGGATCCTTTAACCTTTGGGAACATATTTTGAAGGCGAGATTGGAGTCTGCAGAAGAAAGGAAAAAAAGAAAAAAAAGGTGGGAAATTAGAGTGAAAATCCATTAATAAAATAGCATGTTTTTAGTCAGCTTACATATTGAAAATTGTCGCATATAAATGCCTAACCCCCATACCACCCCCTACTTGGCACCAGCGAGGGTTAACACACACACCTTCACCTTTACCACAACTCCTCCTTACCTTTAGCCACACCTCCCTGGTACTTAAGCAACATGCACGAGGTACTGGGCAGTGCTACAGATTCACCTGTAAGAGAGCAGAGCTGACTTAATAAATATGTTTGGAACATACCAATGAGTCTGAGTATTTCTTGGGCTAGATCTTCATCTCTTAACAAAATGGTAGCAGAGGATGGTTATTAGCCCAGATACTCCAAGGTATGTCTGAACACATCAAGCTGCAAAAAACCAAAGGGAGAGCAAACACACGAGCCTTCGCGAAGAAGATGGCAGCTTAATTATCGCCCGCAGGCAGCACTCTAAAAGAAACTCCGACTAAAGGCAAACATGCTCCCGGACCAAGCACTCCAGCCGAAATCGAGGAGAGAAGAACCGAGAAAGAAACCTACACAGAGGCCACCTCGAACAAGGAAGATGACCTCAGAAGAAACCTGCTAAAGCTGATAGAATCTACCCCGACCAACCAGGACCTCGTCGCGAACCTCCGAAGTCTAATCAAGGACTGTGGAGCAGTGATCAGAGAAGATGAACCAGAACCGAAGCAAGCGAGCACCAACCCATTAAGAGGCACGCCAACTTACCCCATTCCCACCGAGGAGGCCGAACCAGATTTCGCGTCCTTTTCGCGGTGGCCATCTTGGACAGTGATGTCACTAGAGATGGCCGACCAATCACCAATGGGGGCCCAGAATTCAAACCCACCGGCGGGAAACGGGGCCTACTCACAAGTGTATGGGGTGGACACCACCAACGACGGGGAAGAACGCGACACAGACCCCAAAGAATCGCCTACCGAACTAGACATTGACACGGCCATACGGACCTTAACCACAGCCTTCGGCCCAAAACTAAAAAGAAGAACCCCGGCTGGAGTGTACCGGGGGGATGCAACCACCACAACGAGGGCCCCGACCCCAACACAATACACATGGGCCCACCCTACACCGCAAACGACGCCCGCGCCGGATCCTGAAAAACGAACCGGACACTCACCAACCCAGCAGACACCAGCGAGCTATCAGGAACCCTCGACGACCAAAGACTTCAACCTGGGCCCAGTCAACAGACCGAACACCGGACCAGATCATCCAGATCTTCGCCCAACGACTGTGGGTCTTCCGAACCCAAGGATCCCAAGGGACATCCCGATGACTCAGGCGACGACCCAAGCCTCCTTCGGCCTCCGAAAGGCTCCCAAGATGGAACCGAGACTTCATACAGATGAGTGGGGCCTTCACCCAGGAGCTACGGCCATGAGCTCTTTCCCCGGCAACTGCAGAGCGAAAATGATCCTCGAGCATGCGCAGAACCAACCACCTAGGAAAGAAGAAAAAAACATAGAAGCATGCCTGTTTAGACTACCGGCCAGCATACCAGTGCCATATTGCGAGTTCCCTTACATCCTAAACCATGGACAGCGCCCGCCTGTAAGTAATCTCTCACACAACACTGGGACCTTACCAATAGACTTTCCAAAACTAAAATTGGATGGGACAAATCTCCTAGAGTGGAATCAACAGCTCCAGGTCATTTTCTTAAAGGAGAATATATTATTTTTAATGACTGACCCCCCAGAAAAACCTTGGTCATTTGAAATAGACTGCTTACACCATAGAGCATATTACCTATTGATAGCCAGCATATCATCCAGCATATGCCCCAGCATTAGTCATCACCTGACGGTGCCAGAATTAATACAAAAACTGTTTAGCCTATTTTATAGCAAGAGTAGGGCAACCACCACTAGGATTTCTAGGGAATTCCACTCTGCCAGACTTAAAGCAGAGATATCTATGAGTGAACATTTACTCACACTCAATGCCACTAGGGCTGAATTACTGCAAAGGGGGGAAATCATAACTGAAGAAAGTATGAAAAGCATAATTATCAATTCTTTGGACCCAAGCTGGGACAATTTCGTATCGCAACTAGACAGCCTCAGCATAGAACACCTATTTATTGAAAACCTCACAAACAGACTAATAGCTGAGGACAACTTAAGAAAAGACCGCTCACAGTCCTGCAGAGATCACAGAACAGACAGGAGGATAGGTTTCCCAGACAGGAGCAGCAACACACCTGAATGCTACCTATGTGGCTCCAGGAATCACTACAAGAGAGATTGCCCCAGAAACACCCAAGGTAGGGAACACAGCCAGCGCAGGGACAGGCCAGGATACAGACAGAGACATTCCCCAGAACACGGATTCAGGTGCAGGGACTCTTCCAACCCCAACAGCAGAAGAGATCACAGAGATAACTCCCGGGAGAGCCACTCAGGCTCACTCTATGGGCTTGGGGGACGGGGGCACGCCAACAAACGAGTAAAGAAAGAGAACATTTGGCTAATAGACTCAAGTGCAACCAACCACACTACCCACAATGCCAACTTACTCTCCTCATTCACAGAGGAAAATTTCATGATTAAAGTAGCGAACCAAAACGTCAGAGTGGCGGGGAAGGGAAACATAATCATATCAGAGATTGGAGAAATAGAGGGGGTCTTATTTGTGCCAGAGATTCCATACAACATACTGGCCGCCATACGGCTAAGCAAGGACATCGAAGTCATTTTCAAGGCAGGACGCACACATGGTCAAGAATGGAAAGGACATAGGAGAGGTTATGATTAGTGATGGCCTGCCATACTTCAAAGCAGGCAACATTAATCATCTAAATATAAACACCAACTCAGAGGCAGAGCAGGAACAGACATTTCCCGAAGACGATAGAAGGAACAATGAAAAAGTAGAGGGGGACAGCCACCAAGAGACACGGGGCAGTGAACATAACCATGAGCCCATCAACGACAACAAACTCTCATTAGGTACACCCATACATGACAACTGTGCACACCTCCTACACAGGAAACTAGGCCACATTAGTTTTCCTGTTGTACAAAAGATGACAAAATGTACTGATGGTTTAAGAGTAAAGAATTGTGAAAACTATCTTGAGTGCTCAATTTGTAAATGTTCCAAACTAAAAACAAAACCGAGACCAAAGAAGTCAGTACGCACAACCGACTCTATTTTTCAATTAATACATATGGACCTAGTGGGGCCTCTAAAACCTTCTATCAAATACAAAAAAAGATTCTTCCTAACTATCATAGATGGCTACAGCCGCTATGGCTTCGTATACACCCTCAACCATAAGAATGAGGTGTATCAAAAATTCAGGGAATTTTACAAAAAAGTAGAGGTCCAACATAACACAAAAATAAAACAAATAATGACTGACCGAGGTTCTGAGTTCCTATCAAGGGACTTCTCAAGGTGGTTAAAGGAACTTGGGGTACTGCATTATACATCCTCGCCGTTCTCCACTTTCTAGAACGGAGTAGTAGAACGAAGAAACAGCACATTACAACAATGATGAGGTGCACCTTGGAAGATGCGAGACTAGGGCAATCCTTCTGGTCAGAAGCCCTTCTCTACTCTAACTACACACTTAACACGTTGTGGTCTAGTGTAATAAACACAACTCCCTACGAGCTAATGTATAGAAGGAAACCCAACATAGCCCACCTACACGTGTTTGGGGTCACAGCCGACGTACATACACCCAAACAGCTAAGGAGAAAGGGGGATAAAGTGTCTAGGAGGCTTAAGTTTATGGGGTACGAGCCAGGTACCAAAGGGTACAGATTCATCGACAATCAAAATAGGTTCATAATATCTAGATCAGTTGATTTCCACGAACACTCTAACTGGTCAAGAATACATTTAAATGAAGTGTTCCACACACCCAAACTAACAAATAGCCAACAGGGCACAGACACCAAGGGGGACAGGGAACACCAGAAAATCAAGCCTAGGCATCAAGGTGTCAGCATCAGTGAGTGGAAGGAGAATCACCCAACACTAAAGCTAGACGCCCTCACTGAAAAGGAAGCCAGGTACCTACACGAATCAGTCATGCCACCAGACAGACCAGTCAGGACAAACAGGAACAAAAGGCCCAACAAGTTCAAAGACTTCGTCATGTCCATACATACAGACAGCCTAACACCAAACTCATATGAAGAAGTGCTTAAATTACCCCAGGGGGAGAGAACAAAGTGGGAACAAGCTATGGAGAAGGAAATGAATAGCCTCAAAGAACTAGATGAATACACAACCTCTGAGGTTCCAGATGGTAAAACCCCAATTGGAACTAAGTGGATATATAAGATCAAAACTCTGGATGACAATAAAACACTATACAAGGCAAGGCTAGCGGCACAGGGGTTTGCACAAAAATATCCAGAAGATTACACTGACACATACTCCCCCACCGTCAGAGCTGAAAGTGTCAAAAATGCTTTAGTAATAGCCTCCATTTTAGGGCTTGAGGTGTACCAATTTGATGTACAGACCGCATACTTACACGCCAAGCTCGACAAAAAGATCTATGTTAAGGCACCACCAGGCATAAAGTCACAGGAAGGTAACACATGGCTTCTGAACAAAAGCCTGTACAGACTCAAACAATCAGGGAAGAGGTGGTATGAATGCTTGGCCAAAATCCTTAGAGCAATGGGCTTCACAGCCACATCTGCAGACATTTGCTTCTTCATAAGGAGAGAGAAGGACTCTGTTGAATATGTCCTCATTTATGTGGATGACATACTATACATAGGCAAACAAAAACACAAGTGTGACACATTTGCCAAGGAAATGAGTAAACATTTCTCCCTGAAAACACTAGGCAAGATAAACAAGTACTTAGGGGTTCATATCGTACAAACTGGAAAAGGCTTCCGACTCTCACAAGAAGAAAAAATCTCGGAGCTGCTAAGAAAATGCAACATGAGCAACGCCAAGCCCTGTGATACCCCCATGCAACCCGAATTCCTGAAGAACATGCATAACGAGGATGAACCATTTACAGACAAGCTATATAGATCAACCATAGGATCTCTACTATACATCGCAAACTGGACAAGGCCAGACATCGCTCTACCCGTCTATCTACTATCCAGGTATGTCAGTAAACCCACAACCTATCATTGGGAGGCAGTAAAGAGATTTCTCAGATATCTAAAATACAGCTCCAACGCATACCTAGGACTTGAGCCAAAAACCTCCAAGGAACCCAAACTCTCCTGCTACACAGACGCTGACTGGGCAGGAGATGTGAAAAGCAGGAAAAGCACATCTGGATACATCTTCTTTCTCAACGACAGCCCTGTTCATTGGTACACCGGCAAACAGAATTTAGTTGCTGAACACCACCAAAGTTGAGTTCGTGTGTATGTCCAAGGCCACAAATAACCTAACCTGGTTCGATGACTTGCTGTCCAGCATTTGGACTGAGCCCTCATACCCCATCATCATCCACGAGGACAACAAAGCAGCTATCGAGATATCCAAGGCAGACGCAGTGGGTCAAAGGTCAAGACATAGATATTAAGCATAAGCACATAAGGCAACTTTCTAACATTGGATTTATTAAAGCCACCCACTGTGAAACAGAGGAACATATAGCTGATATACTCACGAAACCTCTACAGAACAAATAACACACTTAGCTAAGATCCAAATTAGGCGTATGTTTGTAATACGTTTTTACTTATGAATCCCACACTGATGCAGCTAGTTAGGCATTTAGAGGGGGTTTTGTCGCATATAAATGCCTAACCCCCATACCACCCCCTACTTGGCACAGCGAGGGTTAACACACACACCCTCATCTTTACCACCACTCCCCCTTACCTTTAGCCACACCTCCCTGGTACTTAAGCGACATGCACGAGGTACTGGGCAGTGCTACAGATTCACCTGTAAGAGAGCAAAGCTGACTTAATAAATATGTTTGGAACATACCAATGAGTCTGAGTATTTCTTGGGCTAGATCCTCGTCTCTTAACAAAAATAGATCAGCTTTAATCAATTGTAGAGTACCTTAAACTCTTATTCTTATAAGGAAACAATTTTGCAGTCTGCTAAGAGACCTTAAATGGTAAGCTTTACAGAAGTATAAATTAACTAAACACATTTTAACCTAGTTGCTTTGTGAACCCAACCCACATAATTAGTTTGTGATTTAAGGTATCATTCAAATTCATAAAATTAGTATAATTGTGTAAATCATGGTTCAGTTAAACAGGAGTTAACACATCATGTGAACACAGATGTTCCTTTTGAAATTCCATGTATATTTTATGGACATTTGTGCAGGAACTGGCCATAACTACACCATCCAAGTTATTGATCAAATGGACACTGCAAATCAGTGATCAGTTTATTTCATAAATAACCACTTAGACTAGGTGGTAACAAATCTGAAAAGAAGTCCAAATCAGAGATTCCAAATCAGAGATTCCACTTTAATCAAATAAAAAATGAAGGTAAGAAGCGCTTATTAAAGTTTCCAGAATGTTGTATCTACCCCATGGTAACATTAAGCGCACCTTATTGAAATATATATAGTTCTTCCTTCCTTGCCCAATTATAAGGATTTGACACAGATATATAGATTAGCTGGCAGCCACATGTTAAAGAAAAATGTTAATAAGTCTGAACACATAAGATTTTAGATAGGTTGGCTAGGATTGCTTATTTAATTTATTAATAGATTACTATCAGTTTTTTTGGGCACAAAGTGGCTCATAAAGTATTAAAAAGATACATATCTCCATCCAAAATTTTAAAAAAGGAAAATAAAAACCCCTCAATTTATCAAAGTGAAATAATCTTCAGAGTGCATTTGAATATTATCACAGATTGGAACATACTTATATCTCAAAACAGAAAATTCCATAAGTTTGAGATCAAAACTGACTAAATGCTGCCTCGTGTGCCCACCAGCCAGATGGATCTGTAAACTGTGAGGGAAATCCAAATTCATGCACTGAATCTTCAGCACCTCATTACTTACCGACCCTAACTGGGCAGTAGGGTTTAGATAAAAGCATTTCCTCTGTTTCTCTTTGGGCAGATCCGCACTTCCAGCTTATCCCACTATAAATACTAGCCACTTGTCATTTCTGGAGGGGAGGAATCCATGAAATCATCTTCAGTCTATCTCCAGCCATTCAGTAATGCAACAACCACCCGTATTTTCTGACTCTGTATCAAAAGTAGTGTTGTCTTTCTTGTGTTGGTTCAAACTGTAGTGTTCAGTTTGCCTGCTGTGCTTCCGTGAAACAATCTCCAATGCTCCAATTGGCTATTGTACCTTTAGTGGGTATTGTACCTTCTCTCTAGAGTTTGGTCACTACTATTTTTATTTTTTCATAAGTGCAAAAACTTTTTGGCAGGCAAAAAAGAAAAAAAAGTTAAATGTCCTTTCTAATGTAGTTATAAAACCTGTTTCACTAATTGTTGCTCCAGTTAGATTCAACTTCCAACAAGCTAAAATTGATTTTAAGACCAGGGATGTTCCTTTTGGCTGTCTTCAAGTGGCATGCTTAACTGGGCAGGGGAGGGGTATGTGCATCACAGAAAAACAGAAAATGTGTTAATTGAGCAATCAACAAACCCTTTCAGGCTTAAATATGACCCCAATAGAACAAGTCATTCACAGAGTTAATTTAACTCTACCCTTTTTGTAGCAAATTGTGACTTAGGTAGCACTCCATTCACTGCCAAGAGTTATTCATCCTTCAGAGGTAGCTGAGTACATTTCCAAATCTCACAAGCCATTTAGGGCCACGGGGGATCATCAGACACAAAGTCCAACAGGCTTCTCAGCAAATCCTAATAGTGGAAGCAGGAGCAGGTATTCAAGGGTTAGAGGCATTGATCTCTGATATCTGTGCTCTCCTACATGTTACAGGCAGCCTTCTATAGTGCTCCCTTCAGGTAACTACTGGGCTTTTACAGTTTTTAGTGTAGTATGTGTATGCCTTGCAGGGCCAATTGAAAGGTTTCACCTTGAATTACATGGCCAGGTGAACTGATAGACTGATAGGCTGTCTGGTCAAGGTGATATGGACAGAGTGGGCATACCATGGGGCAGCATAGACTCCTTCCCCCAAGTGACAATTTTTTTGAGGTAGTGCAGATCGCAAACAAAGGTGTGTTATTTTCTCCTTTATACAACAGAGGTTTTATTATGCTGTAATAACTCTCATACAAAATGTTTGATTGTTAATCCTTATCACTATGCATGTAAATATTTACCTATGAAGCTTTTCTAGATGTGCTATGTGTCTCATTCTAAGGATTCCACACTTTTTAAAATATTACTGACAGACTTGAATTGCTCACACTTTTGTAAAGAAATAAGTTTAGTTAGCCCTGTCCTTTTGGCTGCTCTCTCAGCTGTGGATTGTGGGGAAAATTTCTTGACTGAAGATATAACCACCTCTTAGCCAATCTTTAGTCATTTTAGGTTTAATTGGCCTTGTTCCTGGAAGACCTTATAGCATTTTCAGCCAAATACTAATTTTCCCTGTCTTGAACTGCTGCAGGGGGTTTAGCATCTCATAGTTTTCAATCTTTTTGCTGGGAGGGGAAAGGTTTTTTACCAGCAGCTGGATGGCTGGATAGCTCTTGGTTGTTAGCATTTCTGGAAGAATTGGCATGATTGTCAGGTTCCACCACTCCATTTTTGACTGCGGGTGTATCTGAATTTGATACCTATTTTTTCCATGCCACTACTCTTCTGCTGCACCAAGCTGACTTAGTCCTGACATTTCTTCCACTTCCATCTGCAAGATTCGCCTGTCCTGCACTGAAAATTCCTTTGAAATACATGCACCCACATTTAAGCGCTAGAGGTGTTCTCTTCTTATAATTGGAGCACAGCTTAAAGATTTTGGGGGTGAGGGAGAGGAAGAAGGAAAGATTCTGGCCACAACCCTCCTTCATCCTCCTAAGACATTAATAATCCTTCTCATGACCCCACTACTTTGTTCAAGTAACTAGAAATTTGGCTTTACAATCAGCTTTCCTTTTTGGGTTAACATACTGATAAAGGTGAATACAGTGATACCTCAGTACTCGACGTTAATTGATTCTGGGAGGCCTGACAAGTACTAAAAATGATGAGTACCAAACAAACCATGTAATTAATGCATAACTCTTTGTTTTAGCCAGAAAGGGAAGTAACTCACAAGGCAACCAACACCAACAAGTTCTATCTTGCGTGTCAAGTACCAAACAAACAATGAGTACTGGGACAAAAATTTTGCATCAAAATGCATTGACTACCAAATTTGATGATTTTCAAAGTAGTTGAGTACCAAGGTACCACTGTATTTGTTAACATACTTATCTTCCTCTTTTTCTTATTTGAGAAGGTGATGAGAAGCAAATAATTCTCTGATGACCTGAGATTCCTAGAGTGTTCCTGGGAACTATTCCTTGGAATACAAGATATAGAATGAGATTTGGCATAACTATAGCCATACCAATGTGTTCTGTCAGAGAAGCCAGCCTCTGGCATTACTGGGAATTCCTGGTTGGAATCCAGGGCTGTTATCATATGTTTCCCCTATCTGATATATCACCCTCTGTTTTTGGCTACTGTAATAGATTGTTGCCAAGCAGAGGATACTTCTGTGATCACTTAATAATCATCTTTATATGATCCTGCCAATAATATTGAATAACAGAGTTGGAAAGCCCCTTGGAAGCCTTCTAGTCCAACCTCTTGTTCAAGCAGGAGACCCTATACCATACAAATGGCTGTCCAGTCTCTGAAAAGCCTTCAGTGATGGAGCATCCACAACTTCTGAAGGCAAGGCATTCCATTGGTTAATTGTTCTCTTTGTTAGGAAATTTCTCCTTAGTTCTAGGTTGCTCTCCTTGATTAGTTTCCATCCATTTTTTCTTATCTTGCCTTCTGGTGCTTTGGTAAATAGATTAACTCTCTCTTCTTTGTGGCAACCCCTTAGATATTAAGAATAGTGAGAGAGAACCGAAGCATCACGGTGAGACTGGCTGGAAAATAGCGGGCTCCGATGAGCCTCGCGAAAATCCAGCCAGACAAACCACTGTCGGGATGTGTGTGTGTGTGTGTCTTCGGACCAGAACCATCCTGTAGGGATGGTGAAGAAGGAGAAGCGCCTCGGACAACCAAGAGGAACAGGCAAGTCCCTCGAAAGGTCGGAAGCAGCTCTTCGAACCGGTGGTGGCCATTAAAAATGACTGCTTTGAAGGTGGGGCAACCAGAATACGATTTAGTGCAGGAGCAGTGTCTGAACAGAGTACTGGTACTGGGTGAGTGATTGGCCAACTCACAGGTAAAAAAGGAAATTTAAATTTTTAAAAAACTTTAAAAGGTGTCTCAGCAAGGAAACGAGCGGCTAATTGGCACTTGGGAATTTTAATGGAGGGAGAAGAACAAAGAGGAAGTTAAAGAAAACTTTATATTTTAATTTAAAATTGGATTTGGAGAAATTAAAACTAATACAAGAAAAAAGAAACCTGAGGGAAAGCACTTTTTAATGAAGATTTGAAGTATTTTTGACAGTTTTGATATTTGAAGGATGAACAAAGAGGAGGGGAAAATATTAAAGCCCAAGAAAGGAAATTTTACAACTGGATTTAAAACTGAATTTGGAGAAATTAACAACAATAAAAGGAAAAGAAATTTGAGAGAAAGTATTTTCTAGGTGGATTTAAAATACTTTTGTAAGCTTGATACTTTGTTGTTCTGAGAATTATGGATTGGAGAGAGACATCTGCTGGTGGAAAGAAAGCACTACAACGATTGGCCTGAAAATGGAAAGAAATAATAGCAGTGACCTTGAAGAACTGTGAGAAACATTAAGGAGTATGTGTTTCTTTTTAAACTGCTCAGTCTCAACTTTCAAAGGAGGTGAAAAACA